ACAAGAGAAATACATCTTTATAAAACTTTGTTTAGTGTTCTTCTAAGGGTTCTCATCTCCTAAGACTTCGTTGAGGGGGCCACTCTATAGTGGTGTCCTTGTCAGGGTCTACTAGTCCCAATATATGCTTAAATCACCAACATAGAGATGTCTCTAGATGATGGTTACATCTTCCTAACCTAACGTTCATCTGGCCTTTTGAAAAAGTGCTTTGAAGAAGAGAGGTTAGTGTAGTCAGTCCTTGGCCCTCATTGGCTTGACCTACTGCAACAGAAATGCCCTTCAGAGGTAGTGGATTCCCTACACCAAGAGGCCAGCTTGTGAGGGGCCTAACAGCCAGTTTGAGTCAAATTGCCACAGCCTCAGGCTACAGTGCTTGGGCTGAATTGCCAAAAGACTCTGTCTAAACATAAGTTTCCAAAGTTGCTTATTTGGTTCCAACACTTGTAGGATGGCCATGTCACTAGGATCAATTACCTAACCCTCCAAGTTCCTATGGCCTTGCTGTTGACCTCCGCGCCACCTTGGACATCTTTCTACCATCCCCACTCCACAAATATTTCCTGGCCATACTCTGGATTTTGTTGAGGGTGAGCTCTTGAATTGGCCAGATTGAGATATAATACCAGATATATGTGCATATATGTGTGGAGGAAATCCCAGTTATCCCTCAATTATATGCTTTTTTGACATCCAGAAGCTAAGTGACTACTTCCTGCTCTGATTCACAAGCCCAGCACTGAGTGCGAAGGTACATCCACACATTCTCAGAGATCTATCACCCGAGCACAAAGCCTATTTGTTGTTCCCAGATTAGGATCGGCATGACTCAATTGTAGTTAGAGGGCCATTGCATTCTCAAAGACCTTGTATACAGCATTCAACATTGTGATAGGCCTCCACTTACAGAAGTTTGAATTCAGCCCACTTGAGGATGAGTGCAATCTGCCCTGTAGTGGAAGCAAGCCATCCCTCTAGGCTGTCTTCCACAGTGTCATCAGCCAGGGTCCAAGTTCTTCCCACTGCATCGTGAAGAAAAGTGGGAGTAGGCCATCAGATTCCCATTAAGTTTGAATAAATCTGCTTCTAATCTCACCACTCACTCTAGTGGAACTCTGGATGGGAGAGTTTGCAGCACCTCCTAGGCAGCATAGTCTCTCTCTAGGGTCTTGGACTGGCCCATGCATGTGGTATATAATGAGCTTTGGATGCTATATTGTGTCTCCTCAAACATCCCATCTAGTCACTATAGGCCCAAGATAGGGGAGAATCCAACATTATATTGTAAGGTCTTTAGTTTAAACTTTCCAAAAAGTCACCCATCTCACAGTACAATGTTTAACTCCATAATCCTAAAACTTTTAACCAATTGAATTTGTTCATTCCATCCTCAATTATCCTCCATTGTTCAAACTTTTCACTCAATCACCTCCTGTTCCCGAAGCTTCATCTCATTTTTAACCACGGTGGCATTCAGCATCATATGGGAACTTGGCAAGCATCTTCTGTGCAGTTGCCACTTTTTTCATATGGAGCTCTCATATGGCACTTCCCTTCATATCTCAAAAACCCTAAACAGAAGGCAAATGGGATATTCCATGCTCACCGGCATTCTTAGAGTACTCCCTCAAATCCTACATAGAGCTCTTGTCCACGAGCACGTCTTGGACAATTCTTTGTGCTTCCAAATCTCTAAGTGTGGTCTTAGAGATATGCAGATGCCTTTCTCTTTTTGGAGTCTGATGAAACACCTAAGAGGATTGTGGTCTGAGAACGATGAGAAGCTCCGAGGCATAGACCTAGTCAAGACACGCTTGGCAATGAACCCATTCCCTTGTGAATAGGCGTGCATGAGGCACAAGCCAAGGGTCTGATGTAGGTCCCTAGGTTTTGCCAGGCCCTTAGTTCCTCTCCGTAAAAAATCCTCGACTTGGGGCACAGTATACCAACTTTCAAACTTTAGCTCCTCTGCTGGGGGATCAAACATGGCATTCGTCCAGGGAGGTTACCAGGAACCTGATGTGATGAGCCTCGAGGGGGGCCTTCCTCTCGAGTTCCTTCTCCTGTTTGTCTGAGAGTTCTGAGAGTTCAAAGGGGCAGCTCGGCTCCAGTGTGACCTTCTTCTGCTCATTGCATGGCCTAACATCTGGCAAATATTACAGCGAACTCCACTTCCTTCTTCGACCACCATGATGTGTTTGTCAAGGAATTCCTCTTGAGTTCGGTAAGAACTCTCTTTTTTCTTGTGCCATCAAAGCAATCTCTATGCAATTCAACATAACATGCAAATAATATTTTTGTGATTGAAACGATCAGTCACAAAAGAATAATCAGAGCGATCATCAAGAATCAAGAAGATGGCCATTAAGTGGCAAAAATATCTTAGGGTTATGGCAATGATGCTGATCAATGGTTTGGCAGCGCAAGTGAGATGTGTCCAAGGTAAACAAAGTTCCTTACCTAGGCACTTTGTAACCCGGTTCACCTGGTGGGCCTGCCCGACTTGATGAATCTTGCCCGCACATGGAGACGCATGCGTCCCGTGGTAGTCGGTCCCAAGGGCGATGGCAAGTCTTGCAGGCTCAGGGCATTCGTCTCTCTCCTCTGCACCGCGGCTCCGGTGGAGGCCGTAGTGAACGAGCTAGAACTGACCTCGTTACGTGGTCTGTTGATGCCCTTATGCGGAGCAGCCCAACGTCACAGCTGAGATCTTCCCTTCGCTCAAGGCTTTTCTGGAGCGACGGAAGTTCTTGGGGGAGGACTTCACGTCATTGTGGATATTGTTCAGGCTTTGGAAACACTAAGGAGCGCTGAGAAATGCAAACCAGATGTCCAAGACCGCCTCCAAGCACACAAGTCGTTGATGCATGTTATTAGCGGCTACAAGGTTATTTTTGGAATCTCCCATGCACTATAGGGGACTCTCAAGGACAGACGACGAGAATGTCAATATCTTTCGATCAGAAGGATTCACCGAGAATGTCAATATCTTTCCAACAGAAGGATTCACCAAGGTTTGTGGTTTTCACTTCATATGCGGCTAATGCTTCTTTCACAGGAACAATTGCACAAGTTTATGCAGCATGCCTCAGTTCTAGGTGCTGTTGTTGCTGATGACCCGTATAGACGTCAACTAGTGGAGTTTTACGCAGCCAAGCACCCACTTTCGCTGGATATCCTGGACAGGGCCTGCATACAAATTGCCACTAAGAAATTGCTCGGAGCGCAGCAAGTTGACCTGGATGTGGGTCCTGATGGACGCTGGTCTTGGCCTCCCGAATTGCCAGACTTGACGCCGAAGGAAGTCGGCGAGCTGCTAGACAGCTATGAAGACTGGGATTCAGTCATCTCTGCCTTCGTAAACGACAAGCACTTCCATGCTCTGAGGACGTCTGAGAGCTGGACATTGAGGGGGACTTCAGCACCAACAGGCGGATTATAATCGTGGATCCCAGATATGCATACGCGAATAGGTTCTGTACGCCTTTCATTCCAGCAAATCTACGTGGAGGAGTTTAGAAGTAAAGAAGAGGATGCTGGTGGTGACCACGGCCCTTGGGTGGCTTATGCAAGGATGGCCTCCCGGGGTGCACCATTGAATGGGAGCGAGGCTGGATGGCTGTGCGAGGGGCTCTGTAACGACGTCATTTCGCGTCGGGGACTAACGATTGATCCCTCCGGGTTGTCTCTCAATGTGCTTTCTCTGACTACTTTCTCCACCATCCCAGGCGACGTGGCCACAGGAATGCTCAGGAAAGGAACTGGCTTCATGTTCTGGCCGATCCAGTACAATTACGGCAGGGTAGATGCGGTGGTTTTCTACAGAGACACTGCTGGCAAGCTGCATATAATTGGTCTGCAGTACACAACCTGCTTGGAGGACCATCTGCACTCGGGGTCGGAGTTCATGAGCATTCGGGAGCTTGAGAAGTGGTACGGGAGTGATATCCTGGAAGCAACACAGAAGTCGCAGGAGCTTTGTTTGTTCAACGATGCAGCCTCGAGTTCCGCAGGAGGATGTCAGGCAGCTGCGAGATGGAAGCCACGTGGGCATTCTGCAGCACAGACGCCATGTTATCTCTTTCGAAGCTGCACTGGAAGGCAGGGTGAAAAGCAACGTAAGAACTTTGATGCGGGAAATGACCACTCTACGAGAGTGGTGCTTACCTGCGGCGCTCGAGCCCGTGCTTCTGGCTGCTCACGGGAGCACCATCGAGTTGAGCAGCAGCCGGTTCAAGAAGTTGACACGCTACGAGGCCAATGCCCTGGCACTGAATGCGGGTATCGATCCCAATGCCTACACCCGGGTGGAGCGTCTCAAGGAAAAACTTCTGCATGACAAAGTTGTCGTTATGTCCAAAGAATAATATTTTGGCTGGGTTAAAAGCGATACTTATTCGTGAGTCCCCTGGACCAGGCATTCATGTAAGTTTTGACCCGGGAAAGCAGGAGGTTTTGTATTGGTTGGAGTTGTTCAACAGGTATTACGAGGAAACTCTTACAAGTGGCATCAAGCCATAGAGATTCTTTTCAGCAGGTACCTTAATTTCTTAGTATTGTGCGGGATGCAGGGCTAAGATGGTTTTGTATTGTCAAGCAAGAATTGCGAGGATGATGAGGTGGAGATAGCATTGGCACAATTCAGGTAAATAATTTTCAATGATCACTAAAAAAAAGAATTTTGGTGATTTCCAGAGTTGTACTCAAATGTAATAGTCCTCAAGGGAAGTCACATAGCCGTGAGTGGACCTGCAACATCTACAATGCTCGAGGTGGTGGAGGCCGAGATTCAACCTCAAGATCGTCCAGTTTGTTGCCTAAAAAGCTGGATACGCAACTTTATGCACGGACCTACTTGAATTCTTAGTATTGTGCGGGATGCAGAGCTAAGATGGTTTTGTATTGTCAAGCAAGAATACAAGAAGTTGCGAGGATGATGAGCATTGGCACAATTCAGGTAAATAATTTCTAATGATCACCAAGAAAAAAAAAGAATTTTGGTGATTTCCAGAGTTGTACTCAAATGTAATAGTCCTCAAGGGAATTCACATAGCCGTGAGTGGACCTGCAACATCTACAATACTTGAGGTGGTGGAGGCCCGAGATTCAACCTCAAGATCATCCAGTTTGTTGCCTGAAAAGCTGGATACGCAAGTACCCCGCGGACCTACTTGAATTTAAAATCCAGAATAGTCCCACTGCACTATCGAGGCTCCGGGGGAGTAGAAAACGTTTTGGACCTCCTGTTCTTGGGATCGCTGGCGGCGGAGTTTGACGATGATGAGTAGAACCTTGGGTTCATAGCTCGGATGTCGAAAGTGGCAGAGAGCGGGACATTGACGTTGGAATGGCCGGAGAGCATCGCTACCACGTGAGACATGGAAGGCCTGGCCTGCGGGGAAGCTTGAGTACACATGAGGGCGATGTGGATTGCTTGGACGAGCATTCTCTCTTGCTCGTTGCTGCTGGATCTTATGAGCTTGGGGTCTAGAAGATTTGCAAGCAATCCATCGGAATGGAGCTGCCAAGCCTGTGGAAAGAGAAAAAGTTTGCTTGAGGATAACTTTCTTGACAAAGACAAATTACATACCCATTCCAGAAGATATTGCTCAGGTCCCGGCAGCGTCACGTCCCTGTTCTTTCTTCCGGCCAGAGTCTCGAGTACCACGACTCCAAAACTGAAAACATCAGCCTTTTCGCTCAAGTGCCCGTGAAAGGCATACTCCGGAGCCATATATCCACTGCAAGAAAATCACATTTTTAGTCTGCATGCGTAGTGATGGATCACCTACTAGGTTCCTGCGACTTTTGTGGTGATGATCTCTGTCGCTTCGTCCTCTTCATACAGCCTTGCCAGTCCAAAGTCTGATATCTTGGCTTCGAATGTTTCGTCCAGCAGGATGTTGCTGGGCTTTATGTCCCGATGAACGATTCGAATTTGTGAATCCTCGTGAAGGTACGTGAGGCCCCGAGCTGTTCCAAGCAGGATATTGTACCGGGTGGTCAAGGACAATCGAGGAGTTTCTTCCTCACTGAGCATGTCGTCTGTCTCAACGCTAAAAGATAAGATGCAAACCACCTAAGCAAGAAAGTTTACTTACCAAGCAAAGCCTTTTCAAGGCTGTTGTTCTTGAGGAACTCGTAGACCAGGAGCCTTTCACTGCCTTCGACACAGCACCCCAGTAGCCTGACAAGATTCCGGTGCTGTACGCTGCCAATAACCTGAACTTCGTTGAGAAACTGCTGCTCCCCTTGCTTGGAAGACACCGAGAGCTTTTTGATAGCGATCTCGGTCCCATCACCAAAAGTCCCCTGTAGCAAAAAGAAAAAGGAGAAATAAGTAATGAGAAACCATGCTGGGAGTGATCAAATCCACACCTTATATACGGCACCAAATCCACCCTCGCCGAGCTTCTTGTCGTCACTAAAATCTTCAGTAGCACGTCTCAACAGATCATAGGAAAAAGTCACCGGCCCTCGATGCAACGTCAACTGGAGCTCATCAAATTCCTCTGCAAACACCATCCAAAAGTAACGAACAATGGATTTTTTTCTAGAGAGTAAACGAGAGCGACATACCACGCGCTGGTTCCTGCTTTTTAGGAAGTTTTTTCCTCCTCTTGAGAATAAAATATCCGAGCACGAGGAGCAGCAATGCCGCCACACCAGCGATTGGAATCCCAATTGCCAGTCCCAAAGTTTTCTTCCCTGTTACACACAGAGGAAAGCAACCTTTCACTCGAAATTCATCCAAGAAGAAAGATTTCGATTTCATACCTTTGGAACCGGATGGGAGAGTCGCATTTTCGGCAATGCCCTGGAAGAACTTCGATCCCTGGAAGAAAAGCGTGCAGCTAGCATAGTAGCAAACACCTCCGCCGCCGCCGCGGCAAGTGCTAGCGATCACATTCTCCGCGGCCGCGAGGCAAGCGGCGCAATCGGCAGCGCTTAGATCCGGAACGCACTGACCGAGAGCGTACGCCGGCGCCGCGGACTCGATCCCCGCCACTGCCGCCACATATTTTCTCGCGCTCTGAGGAACCCTAATTTCAAGGAACTCTAGAGCGGTCTTGGAATTGGGCTGGAAAATCGCCAAGGAAGAGGAAGGGGTCGAGCAATTGGCGATGCTGGAGACGATATCGAGAGTGGAGGAGAAGAAGTGATCCTCGTAGCGCAGGAAGCAGTGATCGAGGTAGACCCTGCCCCCTTTGGTGGAATTCCTCACGCAGGTGGAATTTAGGAGCTGGGAGGCCGATCGAGCGCACGAGGAGCATTCCTGGGCAGTGATGTCGCCGCGGCATTGGATTAGGCCATAGACGGTGTCGCCCAGATTTCCGGAGCTCATGGATTTGAATCCTCCAGCGGCGGGCCCTTGATCGAGGAGAGTGGCGAGCACTGTCTGGATGTTAGCTCCCATTTGCCTGGAGGTGAAAGTATAGGCGTCGGAGCACGAGAATGTGGCATTGGCAGTGGAATTGGATGTGAATTGGGCGTGGGCGCCTCTTGCGAGAGCAGCGATGGCGATCATGGCGATCGCAAGAACAAAATCAAGAGAAGGAGGATGATCCGCCATGGTTTCTCTTCCTTGCGATGGAAATGCTAATTCATCGATAGGAAGTAGCGAGGGAAAGATCAAAATCTTCTCTTCTTCTTTTCTTCCAATTTTCTAAGAAACTCTTCTGTTTGTTTGGACACATCGCAAACAGGAGTTTTTCTAAAATTTCCAACGATCTGGTCCGTCCGCCAAGTTTGACCCAGCGACGATGGATAGGCCATACACGTGTCATGACTTTAGTCAATCGTGGTAAACAGCGGCCATGAGCGCGTAGGCCGAGGAGCACTCACACTGTTCTTCCTCTTGAAACTTGACCAGCTCCTCAAAGGCGGTCCTCGCCACGCCCACGCGCCCAGATCTCCTGCTCGCATCGATCACACTCGACCAGGTGACAGCATTGGGTCGCATCGCCGATCGCGATGATCCCATCGATCTTACTCTCTCCACCAGCGCCACCGCCTCTTCTAGCCGATCCGCTCGCCCCAGCATGTCGATCGCGCAGTGGTAGTGCTCGATCCCAATCCCAGCCATAGACAAGGACGATCCCAGGATCTCCGCAAGGAATTTCTTCCCCTGTTCCACGCGCCCAGTGTGGGCGCAAGCGCTGAGCACGCACAGCAGCGCCGCCGCGCGATCGTGGGCATCGAATCCCTCGTCTCTCATCCGCTGGAAGTGATAGATCGCCCTCTCTGCGTCGCCCTGGCGGCTATATCCCGCGACGAGAGCGCTCCAGGAGATGAGATCTCGCGACGAGGAGGAAGAGACGAAGAATCTCTCGGCCTCGTCCATGCTTCCGCATCGCCCATACGCATCCACCAGGCAGCTCGCCACGACCGGGTCGATGAGATCTCGCCCCGATTCACGGCTTGCGCGGTCGATCTCCGCGTGGAGCTTGCGAATTCCTTCCAGATCCATGACACTTCCATGCGCCCGGATCGCGGTGGCATAGCTCCTCGCGTCCATGACCATCGAGCGAGGAGAAGATCGCATCGCCGCGAGCAGCGCCAGGGATTCCTGGGCCTGGCCATTCTCGAGATAGCCGAGGATCAAAGCGTTCCAAGGCGCCGGATCATCGAGCTCTTCGTCGCCGAGCATGGCGAAGATCCTGTGCGCGTCGATCGTGCTCCCACACTTCGAGTACATATTAATCAGTGCGCTGGCCACGAATCCATCCAGCTCCACGCCCAGACCGCGAGCTCTCGAGTGGATTGCCATGCCCGTGTTCAAGCTCTCCACTTTGATCACACAAACTCTTCTTCTTCTTCCTCCATCGCTATCGATGGATTCGGGGATTCGGGAGGATTGCTCGCTGGCAGCCATGCTCGTGCACGCATTGGCGGCCGCGACGATCGTCCTCGCGTCGCCAAATATCTCTTTTTTCGATCTATCCAGCAGCATCATCTGCGAGAAGAGATCCAGCGCCATCGCTGCCTGGCCGAGATCCACATACCCCAGCATCAATGCGTTCCACGCCACTGGATTGGTGGTCTTGAATCGATGATCGAGCCTGTCAAACACCGCTCGAGCGAGATCCACGCTCCCACACTTTGCGTAGAGATCCACCAGCGTGCTTGCGACAAACATGTCCAGATCAAAGCCTCTCTTTGCTGCCTCGCGGTGGAGAAACATCGCTCGCTCCAGCGACACCATCTTGATCGCCGCCAACTTTCCAGAGAATTTCTTCTGGCGTTCTTCCCTCGCGGCCAGGCCAGAACACGACTTGAGCGCCGCCACAAAACTCCTGCCACTGGATCGATCGGTGCTGCTCGCCATGAATTCTTGGAAGAGCTCTAATCCCGAGAGGCCATCTTCATCGTCGGCATATCCCATGATCATGGAAGTCCACGAGACAACGTCGTGAGTTTCCATTCTCTCGAAGATCATCCGAGCAGAAGCCATGCACCTGGATTTCCCATACGCGTCGATCAAAGCGCTGGCGACGCGCATGTCTGTGTGCCATCTGGCTTGCTCGCACCGAGAGTGGACCGCCATAGCCATCTCGAGGCTCTTGATCTTGACGAACTTGGAGCTCCCGCAATCAAGAAAATCGGTTTTTTCGATCGCAGCTAGCTTGCTGCAAGCTTTGAGAGCCGCCAGAAACGTCGCGCGGTCTGGAGAGATCGTCGAGAGGTTGGCGATTCGTGCGAAGAGTTCCAGTGCCTGGAAAGCTTCTCCGTTGTCAGCGTAGCCGAGGATGAGAGAGTTCCATGAGACGACGGTTGGAGCTGTGATCTTGTCGAAAACACGGCGAGCTTCGGCCATGCTGCCACATTTTCCGTACATACCGATCAGAGAGTTTGCAACGTAGATGTTGGTGTTTTTGCCGCTCTCAGTGGCACGAGCGTGAATCTCTTTGCCTCTTTCCAATTCTTTGGATCGAGCAGCGGACTTTAGCTCGAAGATCACCGATGAGACCTGAGGATCTGATGAAAGAATGTGTGTTCCAGGCAGCAGTGATGCTGCTTCTCTCGAAGGTTTCATGGCGGGCGAGATCGCTTGTGATCTGCAAAGAAAGAATAGAAAAGCTTGTTACCATCTTATATATCAGTGAAAAGTACCTAAGGCTCAAGAGAGGAGAAATATCTTACCTCGAAAATCCATGGTAGCCGCTACCACATTTCTTGCAAATCAGATCTTTCAAAGATTAGATCTAGAATCCAGCTTGGCACGCTCATGCGGTCTGCGATGCAAGAGAGTTTGAGCAATTGGAAAGCCCAAATGCCTTGCTTACCTTCGAGAAACCATGGCGCCCCAAGCCCTCCCCTACGGTCTACGTGGCGTACGAAAGACAAATATCTACTGGGATTTTTGTTGTAGGAGAGTGGAACGGTTTTGCAATGCGGCGAAGCATGGAGTTGGACGATTGCTCCCTGGTGGAGATCTTGAGCAAGGTGGAGGATGCGCGGACGCTCGCCCCGTGCAAGCGATGGGAGGAGCTTCGCTGGGCCGTCTCTCGCCTCTCCTTCGACTTCCCGGCGAGTACCAACGAGGGGCGCCGAGGATGTAATCTCCAGACTCCAGCGTCCTCCGACGCGCCAAGGACAAGGCTCCCGGCTGCCTCAAGGAGCTCACCGTCTGTCTCGACTGTGGCGGCGATAGTGGTGTCGAATACGATCGGGAAGCTAGCGGTCACTGGCTTGCCTGGGCTGCTGGCTCCCTCACAAAACTCTCCCTCAAGATAGCTCCGTATGATTGGCGTCGTTAAATATGGGGACCGGGGGTCTGGAGCTCGATCGCCTGCTGCACCGCGATTCAGAGCGTTCAGATAACTGGGATGTTCGCTATCACCCAGAGCTTGGTGTCGTTGTCTCTCCAGTCCCTGAACGTGTGCGAGTTCCACTCGCCCGTCTCCAATCCGCTGCTCCAGATGCTGCTCTCATCATGCCCGAAGCTCCAGATCTTGAGCGCTGTCCACCGCCTGGGCGACAACACTCTTACAGTCTCGAGTGGGAGCCTCCGGGTTCTCAGCGTGTATGAGCCACGGTGTCACCTTGGGATCATGGTGGACGCCCCGAAGTTGCAGTTTTTCAGGGTGGGGTTCAGACCCTATGACAGAATTACAAGATCTTCTCGAGTGAGCATCCGGTTGCGCTCCACGGATTTGAGGACAGCATCATTTTGTAATTCCTGTCCTCCTGACAGGCGAAGCTTGTCACTTGGCCAGTTGGAGCGAACTGGACCAAGGGGTATATATCTGCGATCGCTAAGCTCTCTCAGTTCTCACCTAAAGTTTCGAAGCTTTCCCTCCTATGTTTTGACAGCGACCATGTTTTGTCCTATTTTCGCAACATGGAGACGCTATGTGTGGACTCTTATTCTTTTCAGGTGACAATTTCTCTTCACACTTTGATTTCTTAACTGATCTGTAATATTGCAGTCATTTGTGCCCGGAGGTGTCTCCAATTGCAAGCGCAAGAATCTTACTATTCATTTTCTCATTCTTGGAAATACACTACCCAACGTGACGGGTCTCTGGGAGTTAGGGTCGTGATTTACTGAGACACGGTGGAACTGCTGCCAGCACGGATGCCAAGAGACGAATGCCTCCTGGTGCTGTTCGAGTTGCTCTGTTTCTTTCCAGGTCGCATTTCTTTCGCAAATGAGGAGCTGCATCCATGGTTACCACCAAGTCCGACCATCTCATTCATGCTGGCGTGGACAACACGTCAGCGTAAATCTACGTATTTCTGCACACGTCAGCCAAGAACACAGGCTTCTTGTCGTGGGCTTGTATCGGAACCGTGGGAGCGTCGAGGCAGCAGAATGCTGGTTTGAGAGATAAGCGTTTTCTCCTTGGCCGGAGCATGGGCCCAAAACGGGCATAGCGAGAAATCAAAGGAAGTTTTCGACGAGATGCCGAGCAGGGATAGAGTTTCGTGGGAGACGATTGACAGATGAATACCTGCCCTGGGATTGGACCTGGAGGAACTTAAAAAAGCTCTTTGAGACGATGCATCAGAAGGACGAGATCTCCTGGACGGGGATCTTTACGAGAACGATAGTTTATGCCTCAGCGAGATCTTGTGTCCTGGAGAGTGATGATCTGTGGATATGCCTGGAAAGGGCAAGCACGGGGATTGTTTCAAGCTATGCTGGAACAGGACGAGGTGTCGCCTTCTCGGGGACGTCATGGTGGCTGGATGGATCGCCGATGCGTTTGGACGAGTTGGGAACGGGCTCCATCTCCGGAAGAGGTTGTGATGGAGGCATTGCTGGGACTCATTAAACAAAGATATCAAGAATATATGGAAACTAAGATGATCATCGCTTTAAAGTTCGCAAGAACTGCGATGCCATCTTTATAAGTCCGATCCTGCGATAGGCTTCCAAAGAGATCTTCGTGTGTGGCTGAACCATCGTGTCGGGCTTCTTGGGCAGCGGGGTTTGGAGCTTGTGCACCGCTGCTTCCAGAGTCTCGAGCTTGTACACAAGGTTGAGACTGTGGATCTTGTCCAGTGCCGCTTCCTGCCTAGTGGAATCGCGTATGAGCCTGGTGAGGACCTCCCTTGCCATCTCCTGGTGGTCATTGACCGCCTTGAGCTTGATCTGGAGCTCTTCTTCCAGCTTGCGCAGCGCCGCCTCCTGCCTCTCGCAATCCTCTCTGATCACCTGCTGCGCATCCATCTTTTCCATTGCAAGATTGTTGAAGCTGCTCTGGATCTCGTGCACGCGCTCCATGGTCTCGTGCTCCATCTTGTGCTGCTCTTCCAACTTGCGCAGCTGCCTTTCCACTTGCTCTTGGAGCTTGTCTTGCCCGATCTTGTGCTGCTCTCCCAGCTTGAGGTAGTCATCCTGGATCTTTTTGAACACAAGGTTGATGAAGCCAGTCTCGCGATCGTTCAAGCGCTCGACCAGCTTGCGCACTGCCGCTTCCTGGTCGATCTTGTGCTGCTCTTCTAGCTTGCTCAGCGCTACTTTGACATCTGCTCGCAGCTTTGTTTGCTCAATCTTGTGCTCCTCTTGAGCCTTTTGCAGTGCCGCTTCCTGCCTTTTCACGTCCGATTCGAGCTTGCTCAAGGGAGACGGTTTGTTCCTCCGGCTCACCTCCACTTCCAGCTGCTGTTTGATACTGAAATCCATGTTGTACCTGGAATCGCACGCTCGCTTTTCGGCCTCCATGAAGAAAAAATCTTTTTTAGGTGTGTAAGAATATACCTAGAATATCTAGGCATATTCTAAGATATTCTTGGTAATCAAAGTTTAAAATTAATGTCCTTAATTATCACTGGTTCATCAAATATTTGTTCTCACCATGAGTTGAGAACATGCTCTAAGTATACTCATCTGATCCAAGATTTAGTGTTCCCTTTTGATATCAATAAAAACAAATAATATCCCTTATATTCTAAAGTAACCTGGCAAAGAAACAATTGCTTATATATAAAGGCTCTTTGGATTATTTTATGTGAAACATAGTCCAATCAGAGAGCTAATTGATTAAAGAGTATTCTAAATATCAGAACAAAATTTATCTAATTTCTCAATTGTCATTTACATAAAATAAAAACTTTCTAGTTTAGAATTATGAGTGCATAGAATACAAACATATGCATATTAGATTAACTCTAAAACCCTAGTTTATTTACAGCAGTGAGTGGTTTAAATTGAAAATAATTCAATAGTTATCAAAATCTCACTACATTAATAGCATTGTAATTATATATTTGGACTTTACATTATCCTCTCCTTTTAGAAGGATGGAAAACAATTAAAATCCCTTAATTGATAGGCTAGGATTTGAAGGAATATGAAAAGGAGGCACTAGTGAATTTATAGATGGTGTGATTTATTTCTAATCTTTTTGTACAAAGCACTTTAACCTTTGCACATGCATAATTTCTAAAGGATAGGCTTGTTGAATGTCATGCAAACCTTATAAAGTTGTGGTCCAACTTGTTACAACATTTATATGCCAAAATTAGTGAAGTTGTCAACACCTCTTAAGATCCACAAATGCTTATTTGCAATTTTCTAAGAAATAAAAGATGATATAGATTTTAGCAACTTTTATAATGGTGCAATATGATTAGAAAGAAGATAAATAAAATGACTAAAACATTGTACGTGTAACATGTTTATATCTAAGAACATGATTTATTTTGGGTACCACATTTCTCATGACAAAGTGTATTAACAATATGCAATGCTTCCTCAACAAGGTTTTAGTCATTTTATTTATCTTCTTTTTAATCATATTGCACCATTATAAAAGTTGCTAAAATCTATTCATCTTTTATTTGCTTAGAAAATTGCAAATGGGCATTTGTGGATCTTAAGAGGTGTTGACAACTTCATTAATTTTGGCATATCATAACTACATTTGACATTTCATCTTGTTTATGAATGCTTCTAATATTGGTCTTAGAGATGTGTTGATTCAAAAGAGCACAAATGTGTCTGGTCATCACTATCTTATTGCATACATTAGCCATATGTTGTAACTAGCAGAGGTGAATTACCTCATGACAAATGAATGTTTAATAGCATTTTGGGGTTTTGAGAAGGTTTATGCATACTTCTATAATTCTTAAATATTGCTAAATGTTGTGGTCATTTTATTATTAAAACAAAAGAACTTAATTGGTTAGACTACTTAGTGGGCTCTAAAGCTTTAAATATATAATTTCAAAGTTATTCATCGCTAAAGGAGTTTTATACCTAATATTGATGCTCTTTCACTTTTTTCTTTTGTTACTAATAAGTTTGTTATTCTAATATTTTAAACTAGGATTCCATACTATTGGTATTTAATGTACTTGATATTTAGTGTTCACAAGGTATAGAGCTATATTTACTTTATCTTGACGAGATTTGGTAATTTTAAAAGGTTGAGCCGTGAATTTAGAAGGTTTTATGATAAGTTTAAGAATTTTAGATCACTTACTAATGATTTGCTATTTTAGCATTTACATTCTTTATATCATTCTAAGGATAATCTTTACTTTGTGGGGATTAATCTTGATAATCATTTACAGCTAATAGTGCCTTCAATCTTTATTCTATGCTTTCTTCACATTTATTCTATTTTAGGCAAGTATATGGGATATCAGCATGTGACTAAGAAGCTTTATTGGCTAGAGATATAACATAATGTTATCCAGTATATAGTGCTAAACTTGTAATGCTCCCCCTCATGCTACAAGAAGATATTTGGATTTAATCATAATTTCATGTCTATCAAAGTTTGTGGTATTTGACCTGATAAGCAATAAATATGTCATTATTGCTTTTAACTATTTAATTAATTAAGTGAAAGTCTATAATGCACCTATCTCTCTCCCCAATTGCAGTTGCTTAATGAAAGAGCTTTTAGTGGTTATTTTATCTCTATTTATCCTCTAAAGTTTTAATTATCCATAATAATAATATATCTAAATCTCATCCCATGATCATATGCACTATAAAGTCAGTGCTTTTGCTAGTGCATTTGTGACT